CTACCTACCAACCAATAGGCTACGAGCCTCACCTTCATCTAGTTAAAACCCCTCCTAAATATTGTAGCTAGAAACAACCTACTTAGATACTTGTAGGCCTAAGAACCCTACACGTCTTATATAGCCCTTCGGGCTGAAAAAGGACGTTAAACTAGAATAATAATAATAATAATAATATAGTATGAGTTTATTAAAGAATTTTCATCAATTTATACGCATAGAATGTTACAAAGTACATCAATTATAGCTTATTATAGCTTAAAATAAACTAAGTAACTAGCTTTTCTATTTTAATTATACTTATAATAAGCTTTTTACGCTTATTTTTAGTGCGTACATCTAATGAAAACACTAATAAAAGATGTCTAAATTAATACACAAAAGGCCGCGGCATAAGTAAAGTATACAGAGAGTGTGACAGGCTGCCCTGTTAATAATGCATCTTCCTTACTTACTTACATGTGCGTGCGTTTTCCTTTATCTTGCACAGCACCTGTAGTAGTACCTGTGAGAATGCTCGTCTGCCTGGAGTCTACTAGGATTAGAGGTAAAGTAGAGCTTAAGGCGCGTAAAGTTAACAGTCTAAACATAGATACTCAAATTCGAAGGAGAAATTCTGTCTAATATTTAGGAACTAATTATTCCAAGTTAGAGGTTTACTGAAAGTGATAGTGGCGTCCTCTAACTTAGTCGCTAGGTTGATACGTGGAAGACTAGGCCAGAAGTTTGGAAAGTACTCATCGCCCACCACATTCGTATCATGGCCTTGTTCAACGTCACCATCCCCTTGATCCATATCCATGGTTCCGAGTGAAGCGCGCTTAGTTACCTGGTTCGGTACTGTGGCCGCCCAATAGTCTGTCCCCGGAAGTTCTCCGTAGGTGTTGTTGCCAATGGGCAAAGGTGGCTGGGCTAGTAGCGTATCAACGCCCACGAGCTTGTACAAGTCAGTGCTGAATGGCAAACCAACTGGGAGGGTTGGCTTGAAAGTGGCTTGAAACCATGGCTTTTCCGCTGGTTTGGATTCGAAGGGGTCACCAGTGGTATCGTGTGGGTAGATTTTGACTGATGTTTCGCCGTTTTTTCCTTCAACCCAGTCAAATCTAGCTAAGTGCTTGGGAATATTCCAATCTGTCAGTGTATCAGTAGTGACTAGCTTGAATCGGGACATGTATTCATAAACAAGTGAATGGGATATGTAATCAACGTACTTGTTCTCCCGTTCCAACACGTATACTTTTGGCTGACGTAGATCCTACTAACTCTGACATTCTTCCTCTCCTCTGTCTTTCCATTCGGGTCCGTGTAGTTATATTTGAAGAACCCCGGAACGATCAGGAGCTCGTCATATGGACCAACAGGACTATCCGTGTATCGGATAATCTGTATCTGACCAAGTATGCCAATGTACTCTCCCTCTATCGCTGAATTATACCGCCGTTCAAGTGGCGGGAATGCCTTCGTTGGCAGATCGGTTGAAAGGGGAACAAAGGTGATAGAATAGACGGTCCCCTTCAACGTCCATGGCGCAGGTGCAAGCTCGATCGGGGCTGATGAATTGTTATCCCATTGGGCTGTGGACAGCACTGCAAGCTGCAACAGCAGATACACAATACCCCACCTCATCTTCGGAGCTGTTGTAAGAAAGATCAGGAGATCGCGAACAACTCATAAACAGATACAGGAATTGGAGAGCGCCAGGCTGAATTATAAATCATAAATTTCGTAAATACTTCCCAGGCGATTGGAGGAATCTTCAACACGGATAGACGCCATGGAAATGTTTTTCCTGAGCAGCCTTGGCAGACTCCTTTATTTATTCCGCGTGACTTGAATATGGATCAACGTGAACTTAGTAATCTGTGATCCTGACGATCGCTATTTAATCGTGTGGGGTAGGTGCTCCTTCGGAAACCTGATTGGATACTTTTAAACCGAGGATGGAGGCTATACGAACGTACATTGTCCTTACGTGCGTAGCTCTTTTTGCGATGCTGCCTTGGTATCTTGTCTTGAAAGCCGATTTTGTACACCTACTCTCCTCGGCCCCTACAACAAGGGGACATGGAAACGAATACTTCTAGACAGTGAATCAGCGTGATTGCCCCGTCGGCTCAATCTCATGTGTTGCTTGGAACAGAAGTTTTTGATGTGGGGCTGTAGTAGGAGATAAGTCTAAGCCTAGTTTGGAAAAAGAAGCCTTTTGATACCAGGGGCATCTGCCTTTAGCACCAATCGTAACTTAGCGCTTGTTTTCAATACGGGGTTTTGATTAATCCGAGTTTTAAGCAGTGAATGTGGTCTACACAATATCTTTTTCCCATCAGTAATCCTTAGTGTGCGCCACGAAAATTTGTTCTCTTCCATATAAGACCCAGTCACTCTTACCCCAAGAACTTTTACTGTTTCCCTATACATTACCTGTATTTAACATCGCCCAGCGCAGGAAAAACTGTGTCGTTTTGTTTCAAATATGTTACTTTCCAACTTAATTCTTCTTCCTTCAAGCCTTGCATCGCCGCTACTAGACCCGATATTAAACCCCATCATTGACAGTATCTGGACTTCACAAAGCGGTCTCACGAAGACACTCTTAGGAAGTCTTACAGGTACACTTGGCGTTGGACAGTCTTATGATTATGTCGTCGTTGGCGGTGGCACAGGCGGCAACACAGTCGCATATCGTTTAGCGCAAGCCGGCTTCACTGTCGCAATCATCGAGGCGGGGGAATCGTACGAACTAGGCAAGCCAATTGTCGGACCTGCACCCTTAGGTGACATTATCGGTGTGGGTTCAAATCCAGCTGACAGTATCCCAACCGTTGATTACGGTTTGAGGACAGTCCCGCAAGCTGGCGCGGGAGATCGTCAGATGCATTACGCGCAGGGCAAGTGCCTTGGTGGCTCTTCAGGCCTGAATTTCATGATCCATCATCGCCCAAACCGAGGGGCTTTGGATGCGTGGGCAGACGCTGTTGGGGATGAGAGCTACACGTTCGACCAGTTTCTCCCCTACTTCAAGAAAAGCTTTACTTTCACGCCACCGAATCAAGAGACACGTCTGGCTAATGCCACGACAGCCTACGTGGAGAATGACTTTGACACATTGCCAGATTCGCCAATCCAGGTCACATACGCTAACTGGACACCTGTCTGGTCGACGTGGGCAGCTAAGGGACTAGCGGCCCTTGGGATGAAATTGACGGACAAGTTCAATCAAGGTGTCCTAAATGGGTATCATTATGCGCAAACCACCATAGATCCGACCGCCCAGGTCCGGTCTAGCTCAGCCGAGTTCATCTACGCGGCAAGAGATGCGAAGATGGGTAATAAGCTCAAAGTATACTTGGGCTCGAGAGTTAACAAGGTACTTTTTAATGACAACAGAACTGCCACTGGCGTTGAAGTTGCCGGAGCAGGACTGCTGAAGTACACCATTTCTGCCAGGAAAGAGGTGATTCTTTCGGCTGGTGCTGTACACACCCCGCAGCTGCTCATGCTGTCTGGTATCGGCCCTGCAAAACATCTCGCTGAGCATGGGATAGACGTACTGGTGGACCGCCCTGGCGTAGGGCAGAACATGACCGATCATGCACTTTTTGGGCCTACGTACGAAGTGACCTTTGATACCCTGAACAGGGTCATTGGAGACCCTATTGCCCTTGCAAAAGCTGTGGCAGAATATGCGCTGACGCAAACCGGGCCATTAACAACGAATGTTGCTGAGTTCCTGGCATGGGAACGGATGCCCAGTAGCGCCAATCTCAGCCAGTCGACATGGGAACGGCTGCTTCAATTCCCGGATGATTGGCCCCATATTGAGTATTTCCCGGCAGCGGGTCATATTGGGGCGTTCAATATTCCATGGCTGGACCAGCCAAAAGATGGAAAGATGTATGCGTCCATTCTCGCCGCGTTAGCTGCCCCACTTTCTCGGGGCAATATCTCACTCGCCAGTGCTTCTCCTGCGGATAGCCCGTTAGTCAATCCAAACTGGCTAACCCACCCGGGCGATGTTGAGGTCGCCATTGCTCTGTACAAGCGCACGCGCGAGATTTTCAATACGGAGGCAATTCGAAGTATCCGCGCAAGTGATGCTGAGTTCTGGCCTGGCTTGGATGTGAAGACAGATGAGCAGATTTTGCGCAATATTCGCACGAGTGTGATGGCAGTCATGCACGCATCATGTACTGCGCGGATGGGACGCGTTGATGACCCAAACGCAGTGACAGATCATTTGGCAAGAGTAATTGGAGTGCATGGTTTGAGGGTTGTAGATGCTAGCTCCCTCGCGTTGCTACCTCCAGGGCATCCTCAAGCGTTGATTTACGCCCTAGCTGAGAAAATTGCGGATAATATAATCAAAGCACAGATGTAAATATTCTTCATTGGTCTATTATCAAAGATCACTCACTCTCATTCCTACTACATTATATAGAGAAACCGGATAATGTATATTCTTCACTTGAGCCTCACTCAGTCTACACGTTATGTCTCAATCCGAGTTCTCATTCTGTACGATTTTACCCAATTATCTAAGCAGCCCTTGCCACGATCTAACACCTTAGCTGAGACGTTGGCCGTTTAAATTGTCTTCTCAGGTAGTATCAGCATAGTATAAATAACGAAGCCTCCTTTAGTTAGATCTTCAGGAAATTAATGATATAGATCTGTTTGTCTTTGTACCAATGGCAATTACAAAACTATAGGTTTAGTTACTAGAAATAAATCGGAAACTTCCAAGTGAATAGGGACAGATACTATATAGAGGGGAGTGTAAGAGAAAAGATATAATGATAAAGATTATAGTTGTTGACTATGATAGGATAGAGCCCTTAATGATAGCTTCTTGATAGACTCTTAGTCATAGTATACACACGAAGTCTTACACTATAGCCTAGTATCTATACAAAACCTAAGCGGCGCTTGCATAGCGCACTTAGACAATGACTGCGACCTTTCTCTTATTAGCCGATTTATGTTAGTTAAGTAGACTCTTTCATTCTCTATAATATAGAAACTTTGATATACGCAGTATCTACTCTAGCAAGTGTAGCTTACTATACTTTAAATTCAAATGTGTATATGTGTATCACATAGAGTTAAGAGTATCGAACCAAAATACTTACTTTTTTAGTATATAAAATTAAGATGAGTGACATAAAGCATAGATATTTGACTGAATCACGCTATGTCAGGCCTATAGTCAAGTTAGTATTGTTTGTGCTCTGGTGCGCGCTACTATAGCTGAGGTCAATCACATAACCGCTCGGCATCTTTTATGCAGGAAACAGTTTTCCCTAGATCTACTCGCTCTTCTCCGCGGGAATGCGGGGGGGGGGGGGGGCTGCGACACCATTCGTAGATCTACTTCGTCCGCTGGTATGTACATTGCCTGCGTGCGCACTCTTCTACCGTGAGTTCGCAAGTGACATAGACAGCCCCTACCAGTCATATGCAGGTATTACTCGAATCCTGGTTGCATACCGTATGCCGCGTTAGGGAGACATTTTCCCACCTGAGTACGGAGTACTCTGTAGGTGAGCCAATCGCCTGTCACATTGGTTAATGTCACTAAACACCAACTTTGCAATTTTATAGTACCCCCTAAAAGAACTACCTTTTAGGGAGAAATTACTCTAAATTACGATATCAAAGTACTTCTATCTTTTATTTAGTTTGAACTATGTCTTTAAAGTAAAAATAGTTAACTTAAATACCTTTTAGTATAGTAACTTACTTTTATAAGTAAGCTATATATAACCTGATATACTTATAATCCTATTATAAGTAAACTTATATACTTGAAAAAGAACTAAAGATATAATAAATACACTTATTAAATTCTTAATTAGTAAAAGTGCTACTAAAACTGAATTTATAGTAAGTGTAAGGGGCTGCGCTCTAGGGAGCAATTGCGAGGTATACAAGAGGTTGTATTCGATAGAGAGCTATAGAGTCTACTTGCGTGGTGTTTATTTACTTGTCGGAGAAAGGTTGCACCGAGTGTCTGAGCGCGTCGTCTGGGCGCCGCTCAGGCCTCGCACAGATGCCGGGTTGCAGAGTAAGACCTGGCGTCTGCTGCTTGACCGAGATTCCATCGAGGAGCTATCTAAAGGGCGTTCA